ACCGGAATATGCAAAAACAATTGTTGTTGCTTTTTATTTCTGTACCTGTATAGAAGCAAATATCATATCATCAAGTTTTTATGATAAGTATAAGTATGATAATAAACTTAACTTTGACCATTAATTTTATCAACAAAAAGTGAGTTATATGCCATAAAAAGTACGTCATTGGATGCAAATTTCAAAGAACTTTCTAATGATATGTTTTTTATGACATATAATCCATATTTTCTTGACCATAATTATGAGTCAAAAGTGGCCTTGTATAAGGGAATGGAGGGAGTATCATTTTCTTTTGAGAATTTCATTTTGCGTTATTAACTCTCTTTTTGAGAATTTCTGAGTATGCTTTGTATCCTCATGCTTTATTGCATGTTGTCATGCACCACTTCCTTCCGACACTCTTGATTTGGTTCTCACGGGAATCTATTCCATGCGTAGGATTTTGGCAAGGCATACAATGAATATAAGCAAGGAGAACCAGCATTAGAACGCATATTTGATTTAACAAGGTTCATCCCTGAGGTAATCGCCATCTATTGTTAAGGACTGCTTTTTATTAAAATTATAAGATCATCGAACAAATCATTAGTATTTTTTTCTAAGGTTTCTTATGTATGTGATATATATGTATTATTTTCGAGAAATGCAATATTCCTAAAGTAATTTTCTTCTGGTTTGGATGATCATGGGGTTTTAGTTACATTTTTCTAGTGGGAAACTGCTTGAAGGTAAAAGAAGTCTATTTGGTTGTGTGAGAAACGAATTCCATAGCATATACCTTTGAGAAAGTATAATTTTGTGGTATTATGTTCTTGGATTTGAATTTCTGTTATCAAGGAAATTTTCTATCATAAGTCGCAACTCATACATCCATGCTGCTTTCATGTGCTGTAGGTGAGGGATAAACCAAGTGCAGTTCATTTAAATTCTGTTAAGGGAGATATTAAGTTCCATGATGTTACATTTAGATATGTTGCTGGTATGCCACCAACAGTAGATGGTGTGAATCTTCATATCAGAGCAGGAGAAACTATTGCTATTGTTGGACCATCTGGTGGAGGGAAAACCACTCTTGCCAAATTACTCCTCCGTCTTTATCATCCACAAAGTGGTATTGAACTGAACATCAGTAGTACAATTGGTGCAGAATCTGTAAACAGTCTTACACGTTTCACCTTTTTAGCTCAAGCTTGGTATCATGAATTCTGGTTTTCTTGGTTATCTAAACTTCATGATTATCTTCTAAGATGGCTATCGATAAACTTCCCTTTTAGGACATATAGCTCTGGACAACCATGATATTCAAGACATTCAGTTGCAGTGCTTGAGAACACATATTGCGTTTGTTTCACAGGACCCGGTTAGTACCTGTGGTGTATCATTTCCTTTTGTGCCTTTGCGGTTTGAAAGCATCTCATTTGGGGTGTTCGAAAGGATATCTTGGTAATCTTTTGTTTGCAACTCCTGATGGAACTCTGTTTTGGTGGTATCTCAGCTTCCAACACACATAATTTAACATTTTTACATGTTGGACTAAACACATTTTGCACTGCCATTGTTTTCATGCATGTTCATTTCTTCTTATTTCATAGATGTTATTTTCCGGTACAATTGCTGAAAATATTGCGTATGGTGACCCTGTGGGAGATATTAATATGAGAAAAGTTGAGAATGCTGCTAAGATTGCCAATGCCAATGAGTTCACTAAGATATTGCCAAAGGGATATGACTCGTATATAGGACAGAGAGGTTCTAGTTTAAGTGGCGGGCAAAAACAAAGGTAAAATTCTCCCCAGCACAATGTCTGGCAGCTTTTCTGGCTGAATTGGTTTCGATGTTTCATTCAAGCCAACACCATGCGTATTTTCAATCCTCAGGTTATCTATCGCAAGGGCAATCTACCAGAACTCTTCCATACTGGTACTGGATGAAGCAACGTCTGCTCTGGATAGCAGGTCTGAGCTGCTACTGAAAGAAGTACTGATGAATTTGATGGCAAGCCACACTGTAAGTGGCGTGTGCAGTAGGAGTATCGTTCTTCAGAGATTTCTATGCCTACCTGTTTTCATGATGTTCTCCCCGCATTTTCAGGTTGTCATCATTGCTCATCGGCTGGAGATGATCCTGATGGCTGATAGAATTGTTTTACTAGAGGGCGGTAAATTACGAGAGATCACGAGGTCGGCTTTCTTGTCCCTAGATGGCCGCTTCGGTTCACCACCAGATGTCCTCAGTCGAGAATTAGGAGAGGCTTGAGACTATGAGGGAAAAGTGGTTTGTTGCGCTGCAATGCGGACGTTGAGCCGCAGGCATGATTTGATGAGTGATCAAACGGTGGAAGCAGCATGTTTCCGTGGACGCCTGTCGGCCAGAAAAGCTCCCTTGTAATAAGCGCATTTGGGCTTCCAAATCGCTGAACGTCAGGATCAGGTACCAAACCAAGTGGTGCGGTTAACGATAATGCCACAAGAGAGAATCAGCAAATTAATGGTATGAGATGGTAGACTTGACTTAACGACAAGTATAAAATCATGACTTGATTTCAATATATTATGCCAACCTTAGTCCGCCAAATTGGTCTGTTGTAATGTTAACTGCGGCAGCACAGCAACCACACAGGCACACAGCTACAAGTATAAAATAATGGAATTGCCGAAATAATGCGAATCAGAAAGTTGCAAACAGGCGCACAGCTGTGTTGCTCTCTGCGTATGCCTTGTAACTGCGAGCTGATAATATCAGCATAGTCCTGTGTTTCATGATAAATAGGACAATATTTACTTTTCTATATACAAAAAAGCACGCATACAAACATTATATATAACAAGTAAAAATGACGTACAGTACAAAGCAAAATCGTCACCAAAGTGTGTCTGCCTGTTTGGGCAATGTACAAAACACTTGTTCAAGACATGCATATTCAACATGGACTATGAACTCCAGAAATACGCAATCCTGCCATATTCAACAAGTGGTGATGGATTCATATCATATCAATGGAGTGGCCCTAGCAACATGGAGTGTCAAAAGTAAGGTAAGCAACACAACAGATCTTATCCATGCCAAGGTGCCCAGTATGACCAATCATCAATCTTGCATATTGAACAGCTTAAACAACAGCTGAGACAGGCCTCTCTATATTCCAAACTCGGCTACTCTGCTTCTAACCTCCTCAAGGAAGGATCTGAAACCTATAGAGCCAACCAGCAGAGTGCCATCCAGAGCCCGATCCTCAATCAGGTATTTCTCAAATGTTGTTGTATCATCACGTGCACCATGAATAAAAGCAAGCCTGGGAGTTAAGGTCCTTTCTTGCTTCAACCTATCGACCGTTGATCTCAACAGACCTACAAACATAAGTTCAGTGTTAGCATATGCATTGGCTGAAATAAGCCGTAACCATACATACTACTACATCCGTTCTCCTGTAGTTGAGGCCTTCAATATGCGTGCAGAAATTAAAAAGTCATAACAACAGAATTAGTACTCCCTACTAATATAAGACGTGATCTAAAACGTCTTATATTAGTTTACAGAGAGAGTACGATTTAGGGAGGAAATGCAGTAATCTCAGGACAACTAAGTGGCACTTAAAAAAGATGGTGCTGAACTCACAGTCACGTGGAGGAGGAAAGGGAATTGAAGGGCTGGCTGTAGGCAAGTAATACACCAAAAGGTCAGTGTAGGCGTCAAGAAGGAATATTGGTCTCTCACTGGTGAATACACTGCGACTTAGAGACTGATGCACTTCTGCTTCTGTATCAAGAGAGGAGTACGAACTCAGTGTAGGACATATAGCTTGCCGAAGAGAAGCCGGTTCCAGTGCACTGTGAAGAAAAATAATAATGTTGAACATTATATAAGCAGTACTTGCGTAGCTCAAATAAACTACAGCAGTGAGATAATCTGGATTTTGTAAAAAAATGTGGAAAGGGAATTTGTGGAATTTTGTCGTTTCTTCCTGTGAGAACTTTAGGAACTGCATGGTAGCAAAATATATACTTCACCTGAAGAGGCACTGCAAATATGTCTGGTAATCTGGATGAATATGTTCATCCTGAACTTGAAGTAATGGGCTTACTAGAAATGCAAATACAAGCTGTGCCAGAGGCTGCAATTGTGAGCAGTTTGAGAAATCAACGTCAATATCAGAAACTCCAGAATCAGCAGGTCTGACGTTCTTGTATGCCTTGTTGTACTGGGCAATGAAAATCGCCAACCAATCATGGAGCCATAGCCTTGCTTCTACCACATCACTTAAAGAAGCCAAAATAACCTGGAAAATGAACTTTTTCAGTATCAAATGATCTTCTGCTCGATCTTCGGTGATAACTTTGGTTTTATTCGAGTCTAGAATATAATTAGGTTTGATGATCATGAACATTTCTCTCCTGTTTTTACGGTCACCAAGCTTAGCATTTATAACTAAAATACCACAGAATGCCAAAACTACAATATACATATAATACATTACGTCCCTGCAGAACGTATTCATTAAACAAGCTGATTCAGATAAGGATTTAAGCTAGGCTAGGATTCCTTATGGTGAATTAATAGATTAGCGTAGACTGCGGTCAAATTTAGCTTCTCTTCTTCCATATTAACACAGAGTCCTGAGAGCATTTTGGAAACCCAGAACTCAAAACTTGTTGGTTTGGCTCGACTTCAATACACCGGAAAGGCGGAAACCAGTGCCAGACAACCAGAGTAAACCTAGCTTCAGATTGCAGCGAAGAAGATAAAACAGGCCTACCAAAATAGGGACCTAATAGCTCCTAAGCCTAGAAGGGTTGAATAAATATCAATCTTCTAATTGTTGACGAACATTCAAATAAAACCATTAGATGAATATTCAAATAAACAGCTAAATGAATGTTTAAGTAAAATACAGAAACACTAAGCTTGTAACCAGCTGTATCCCAGACAAAAGTTTCCTACGCATAATTTTCTTGTAGAGTTGCACTTAATTGATGTAGTAATATGTTATAGTCCTACAGAGGCTGTGGCAACATTTGATTGCTATAACTTTCTTGTAGTGGCAATTAATTGATGTAGTAAGATGCTTTAGTCCTACAGTTAACAGCCTTCGTGCTTACGACAAACAGTTTATCCATCAAAATTGTACTGCCACCGTTACAATTTAGGGAGGAAATGCAGTAATCTGAAACAGAGGTTGTACCTGGTGTACAAGTATCGTCAATACCACATCTGGGTCAACAAAGTCATACAGGTCCCAGATATTAGCAGTTGTGTTGTACTGGATAGTCCGCACCCTTAGCCGCCTTTGCACTGAGAACTTAGATCTGGACGAGGTGTATTTTTAAGTTACAAAATATGAAAATATAGATAACAATGTGTATAAAACTGCTGCTAGCATGGAACATCTGCAAATTGACAAAAAGAAATTGCACACTGCAAATTGACAATTAGACAAACATTAGCAAGCAAGTAATTAACATGCAAGCCAGTATATCACAGGATCATCAAAAAATAACTTGGACAGCTCACACATAAGGACAATTGTCAGTATGCTTAAACTTATTGACACCAGAGGAATGGCATATCAAATATACTTTAACTTGTAAGAGCAAACAGTAACAATGTAACATACTACTCAGTATTCACAAATCTGTGACAGGCGATACAAAATTTACCTACTACCAGAATTGGAAGCATCATCTGATGTATCACCATGGTGTACTATCATCGTGTACTTAAATGCGATTTGGAGAATAGGAGGCCTTGACTTCCTGCAGTTGCAAACATCATGTTGAAATGGTTTAGGAGATAATATATTTATACTGATCATAGTTACAGTTCCCTTGTTTAGGCATGGAAGTTGTTATTGTTACTAAAAGACATACTCAAGAAAAGACCGGACTCAATCAACGGTTAGAATCTGTCTTATGATTTACTCTCTGGTTGGGGTTATACAGGCCCGCCTCATATTTCGAGTCTAACTTTGGCCAGTGATTTAAATAAGAAAATATGGTCTATATATTGCATTCGAAAGATGTTTCCAACAGTTACTTTTTATGGAACATAGCACATATTTTCCTGGTTAAATCGGTGGTCAAAGTTAGACCCAGTACAATAGGGCCCTGTGTAACCGACCGGTGGTAGTAGTATCCTTTTTGTATTTGTATAGCATAGTTAGTAAGATCCCTGGTAGATAGTGCTTATACATTGTGTACTTTTTTTATCTTTTTAAGAGCAAATCCCAGACATCCTAACTGGGAATTAGGTTGAAACATCTAAAAGATGATAGGTTCATAGGGGGGAAAAGGACGGTTAGCTTTAATGCTGAAAATTCTAGTTTATTTCCCTTTTGACAATGAATGGTATAGTTTGTCGGGTTTTCTCCTTGTATAGCATAGTTATCAAGATCCCTGGTAGATAACATGCTTATACATTGTGCACTTTTTTAGTCTTTTTAAGAGCAAATCCCAGACACGCTAATTGTGAATTAGGTTGAAACATCTAAAGGATGATAGGTTTCATAGAGAAAAAAAGATGGTTAGATTCAATGCTGAAAAATCTAGTTTTTTTTTCCATTTTGACAATGAATGGTATAGTTCATCGGGTTTTCTCCTTCTCTTAGTAATGTGCTGAGCCCATCCTAGCATGTTTTGTTCTACAAATATCTATAATATTTAGAAGTGGAGAAGGAACGGCTAGGATTAACTAGACATAAGCAATAGAAAATGAAAGCCTCAGATTAATTTGGCATATATAGGTTAAAAAGAAGCACGGATTGATTGGAAGGCGACATCTAAATAACCATAACCAAGATAGTTTAGAAGGACAACCGGACAAGGAGAAGAACTTGCAAATGTATCGTAAATCTATTCCTATGGTGCCATAAAGATCCCATCTTTTTTTGCGGGGCGTAAAGAAGATCCCTCGTGTGGTACAGATTAGTGATGCATATAAACTACATCAGGGCTCGCAGTGTAGGTAATTTTCCAAACTTACTATTGATAGAGGTATCACTAGTTCATTACTGTCCAATTTGTGTTCCAATAGATTAAGACTCATTGTGGGCTTATCAATTTGAGCAAGTGTGTAAGGCAAACACTCTATGTAATGGGGTGGCAACGTGATGAACAAATCAATCATAGAATTAGGCCTATCGTTTGTTTGCTCAGCATGTCCTATCACTATCCCCTGCACCTGGGGTTTCAGCCCTAGCTGCACACTTCTCCACGGTGCCCAATCGGTAAGTTCCTGACCTAGCCGAATCCTCCCATATTGCG